TACAGTTGGTGACATCACAGTAGCAACATACAATTGTGTGTTAGGAAGTTTCCAAACATTTTATTTAACTCTATGACAACCCTATGAGAAGGATTGTTGTATCAGTTTTTGTCCTGGAAGAAAATGAGGCCAAGATTATTTTTGTCTTGTCAAGGGAAACCCAGTTCCTAAGTCAGTTTGAGAGCTCCCTAATAAACGTATGTCCCTCAGGTCAGGTGGCGGTAGGTACCAGGTGTTTAGGTGGTTTGGTTATTGTGGGGAGGAAAGTGGAAATAGATCAAGATTACACATTTGAGTTGAGTTCAGTGTCCATTGCTGCTGTTTATTAACTCTGTGTTGTAGGTACTCAACTTCTGGGAAAATCAGGTTTAGCATCTCAGAAGGAGGGATGGGGGAAGGTGACTGTCATGTGACCTGTCTGCCTCATGGGAATATCACTGGGAGGACGACTGTGGGAACACTTTTTGGACTTGGAAGAGCTGTTTGCTGATGTTTTTATCTTTACCCATGATGGAGGCTGTGGCCCTCCGCTCATCGTGGCCTTACACACTTTGCTGGCTGTGGGTGGAGAAGTGGAATGACAGGGTGTCAGGAGAGGCGGCCCCTCCTTGTCACGTCCTTGGATGTGCCAGACACTGTTTACACAGCACTTTCTCTCACCAGCCCTTCTGATGTCCAAAAGCTTCCACTCACTTTTCAGAAATGTGGTCAGCTGCACTCCACAACGCTTCTCAAGTGTATTAGGAAAGAGTCTTTAAAAAATTTTTTTATTTTTATCTTCTTTCTGAAATGTATAGCCATGATACAAAATGGTATGTGTTGGTTTGAGGTGGATAAGTTCGTAAGGGATCCGAGGAACTGATGTGCCGTGGCCTGAGCGGAATTCTTTTGTGCATAAAATGCATCCCCTGCAGTGTTACATGTTGGTTGTTAACACAGCACCCTAACTCTTAATATGAAACATGGAAGCTAGCTCCTTCATACTGCTTGGGTGGATCCATTTCTTCCAGCCCCACCCAATCTCTGGACTACAGAGGCAGCACGGACACTTATTATGATCCCAAATGAAACTTTATTTCTTTATGGCCCCACTGACTCACACATACTCATTTCCCCCGACTTGTAGAGAACATATAATGTAGCAACCTCAAGATAACTGGGTCTTTTTTGGTTTGAAACAGTCGCTTGCAGATAAATACCCACTTGAGGATTTAAGTATGGTCAGTTCACACTTCCTATCTGAGGCTCTTCTCTCCTGTGAAGGCTGGATTTCCTTATTCCCCAGCAGCACACCCACTTCTGAGCTGGTGCCTGGGTCCTGGAGGGGCTTTTAGCATCATGGCAGCGGGTGAGGGCTATCTGGTGCCAGGCACTGCCTTCCAGACCTCTCTGGCCTCTGTGGAAGCAGCTTGTCGAGGTTGGTCTTCGGGTACCTCTGTCCCCAGGCTTGTTTGTGTGTGGGTGAATGTGGTTTCTGATGTGGCTTCCAGTACAAGAAGGGTCAGAATACACTGACCCTTTCTTGATGTGTTATAGGCCTTTTTTTTTTTTTTTTTTTTTAATTTCTCGTTTTTACCAGAGATGTCTCACTGTGTCACCCAGGTTGGAATGCATTGGCACGATCATGGCGCTCTGCAGCCTCCAAGCTCTTGGGCTCAAGTGATCCTCTGGCATCAGCCTCCTGAGTAGCTGTGACTATGGGCATGTGCCACCATGCCTGGCTGATTTTTAAATTTTTGTAGGGACAGGATCTCACTATATCGCCCAGACTGGTCTTGAACTGGTTTCAATAGATTCTTTTGCCTCCACCTCCCAATGTGCTGGGATTACAGGCATGACCCACTGTACCTGGCCTTTGGCCTTTGCTGACCCATTGGCCCTCTCAGTACTTGCCTTTGTGTATTTCTTTCTCTCCCGGTCTGCTGCTTTGATCTTTGTGGAGGTGAGAAACTGCCCTCCAGATCTACCACTGCCTTTCTCACCTAGATCGGACATTCCAAATGTGCATCCATGACCCAGGGGTGCCTGGTGACAGAACGTTGATGAGAACATGGTGAGATGCCATAAAAATACAATGTACCAAGATTTTCACGCGGTTCAATTTATATTACCTAAGCTAAAGGAATGTTCTTTATGCTGCAGTTATGTACCCCCTTTACTTTTTTGTGTTAAAAATGTCCTTTGATCATGTGTTGGCAGTAGTCAAAATTTTGTCTGAATTTTTACTCATGGCAAAATTAAAGCTGACATTCCCCATGCTGTCTTTGCAGAGTTTTGGAGTGGGGATGCCATTGATCCATAAAATCTGAAAGGCTGAGAGGCACTCACCTGCCTGTGCCTTAGTCTAAGCTCAAGCTTTATCTTCTTCTGGAAGCGACGCTCCACTGTTTTCTCCATTTCTGTAGCAATGGAGCCTGTTTTCTGGGTCCCCTTAGCCTCCAGTTACTTCCACCTTTGCAGTTTTGTAATTATTTACTGGTATGTTTTTGTCTTCCTGGATGAACTGGAGGCTCTTTGAAGGCTCCTTGATGGCTGGGACCATCTTGTTCACCTTTTTGTTCCTATCACCTAGCAAAGCAGCTGGCATGTGATAGAGGACCAAGGAATGTTTGTTGCATGAATAAAAGTTGTTACAGGTGGGGCACTGTGGCTCATGCCTGTAATCCCAGGACTTCAGGAGGCCGAGGTGGGTGGATCACTTGAGGCCAGGAGTTTGAGACCAGCCTGGCCAACATGGTGAAACCCCGTTGCTGCAAAAAATACAAAAATTAGCCTGGCATAATGGAACACACCTGTAATCCCAGCTACTCAGCCAGCTGAGGCCCCAGAATCACTTGAAGCCAGGAGGTGGAGGTTGCAGTGAGCCAAGATGGTGCCACTGTGCTCCAGCCTGGGACACAGAGCATGACTCTGTCAAAAACAACAACAACAACAACAAAAAAAACACAAAAGTTCTTGTTAAAAAAGGCAACTCTGTAGCAGAGATAAGGAAGCTGACAGTGGTGTGAGAAGTGCCCCCATTCTGTAGCCGTGGAACTCTTCTGAGACCGTTGCGTGTGATGGTAAAGATTTCTCCTTTTGTAGCCAATTGGAACTCTGAATATAGTAAAAATGACACAGGGATCATTTCCTGAAAGTGTCTAATATGGTAGCTCATGCCTGTAATCCCAGCACTTTGGGAGGCCAAGGTGGGCGGATCACCTGAGATCAGGAGTTTGAGACCAGCCTGGCCATCATGGTGAAACCTCATCTCTACTAAAAATACAGAATTATCCGGGCATGGTGGCATGTGCCTATAATCCCAGCTACTTGGGAGGCTGAAGAAGGAGAATCACTTGAACCTGGGAGGCACAAGTTGCAGTGAACTAAGATAGTGCCATTGCACTCTAGCCTGGGTAATAAAAACTCTGTCTCAAAAAAAAAAAAAAAAAAAAAAAAAAAAAAAAGAAAATTGTCAGAGTTTAGATTGCTAACTAAAACGTCTTACATTGATGTAACAGCGGGGAATAGGAGTATTCGCAACTGTAAATGTGGATTAAGTTCAGCCATACCACCATTTTGCCTATAACAGCTAAGCTATAGGAAATTAGTATCAAAAGGAGAGATGTTATTTTATGTTACTTATGGTTAAATACTTTATACAGAGTTGAAATCATTGGAAGAAAGGCATGAGTAGATACTAAATTATTTGCTTTTAAAACATTTGGGGGCTACTGATTTCCACAAATCTCAGTTGAGTGAATTGCTTATTGAGAAATTACTGCTGTGGACACTCATTGCATGCTACTGAATTGTTCGTTGAGAAATTGCTGCTGGGGGCATTAAAATAGGTGTCTGCCTTGCTTGAGTTTCATGTACCAATGATTATAATAGCTGTCACCAGTAGGCTGTGAGACTCTTGGAAGTCAGACTCAAGGACTGTCTTCATGGAGCCTTAGCCTTTGAGTTGAACACATTAGCTACAGAATGCAAAGCTAAACAATGGCCAACCTGTGAATTTCCACATTTTTCTCATAGCACAACAGCATGCGCTTTGCATATCTTTTTATTTTAAAAAATTATGTCATCTCCTGCATGTCTAGTGAGGACAGATTATGAGGCCTGGTAGGCTGGCTCATACTACACTCACATCTAAGAAAGGCAAGAAGCGGCCAGTCCTGGAGCACTGAGACTTTGTTCTGCTTATGAGGATAAGGGAGGGGACTTGGCTGGTCCGGTCCTTATTGTATTCCTTGGTTTTCTTGGCACACCTCCACCTCTAGCAGTCTCTGGAAAGTTCTAACTAAGGAGAGAATGCCTCACTCACCTTCACAGCCAGACACTCCACTAGGCAGGTGCTTACTGCCAGAGCCAGGACCAGTGAGCGAATCCTTTTTGTTTTTTGGAAATGTAGCTCAGAGTCAAGCCAGGTTGCCTTCTCAAATACAAAAGCCAACATGTTATCCTCACCACTTTCATAAGGTTTTTTTTTTTTTTTTTTTTTTTTTTTTTGAGACAGTTTCACCCTTGTTTCCCAGGTTGGTGCAATCTCTGCTCACTGCAAACTCTGCCTCCCAGGTTCAGGGGATTCTCCTGCCTCAGCCCCCTGAGGTAGCTGGGATTACAGGCTCCCACCACCACCATGCTTGGCTAATTTTTGTATTTTGAGTAGAGACGGGATTTCACCATGTCAGCCAGGCTGGTCTCGGACTCCTGACTTCAGGTGATCCACCTGCCTCTGCCTCCTGAAGTGCTGGGGCTACAGGCATGAGCCACTGTGCCCGACCAGGTTCCTTAAGGTCTTCATTTAATGTTACCAGTAGAAATCTGGGGATCAAACTTTTTTATATCATAGACTTGTGGGTTCAGAAAAGATATTTACAATTCTTTACAAAATCCAAGTGATAAAGAAAGGACATCAGTTTTGATGTCATGATGGCCTTGGAGGGAAGGTGTGATATGAAATACATAAATGTACTTTCTCTATATTTTTGGATGTACTCTCCCATAAAACGTCACTGTTAAAACATTTAAACCTAGTTTGAGGTTCTTATGCTTTATTTTAATAGTGGAAAAACCAATCAAATACTTATTTTGAATATATGGTTCTTAACATTCAAATTATTATAGTTGTCATTCATAGACGCATAGCAGAAGATAGTGTATAGTTTTAGCATCAGATGTATGTCATGTTTCTGGTAGACCTTTTCCAATTAGAAATGATAGAGTATATGGTTATGTTTATAAACGGCACAAGGGAATACTTAACTTACTACATCGTCTTGGTATGCTATGTTTTTTTTTCCAAAGATGACTAACATTTTCTTTGAATATTTTTATCAATACGTCTTTCCAAAGCTGTTACACACATCTGAAATCTCAGTGTTGTGAATGGACATGACATTTAAGGGGGGAAAAAAAATCCCGTCAGTGAGTTGTTTTAAATTTCCTGGCTAAAATCCATATATGAGTAGTATATCTCTGTCAGCTTTGATTTGTTAGCCCGATGAAACCACGGACTTGCCCATTTGAAATGGGAGCCTGGCCTTGGGTCTGACCAACCTAGCACCATCAGGTTAAAGGGGGCTGTCTTTGGAGGGCCTTTGTAGAATTTAGGACCAAGACTTGCTGTCTTAGCAGTGGAGTGTTGCTAATCCCAGAGGGACTTGCCTGGCTTTTGAAGGGTTTCTCTCTAAAGGCTGCCTCTTAATTATCTAGGGCCAAGTTAGGAATCACAGGGCCCGCCAGCCTAAAAATAGCCACAGCCTACAAAGAGGGCCCTAATGGCACAGAGCCACTGCTGCCTTCCCGATGCCAGAAGTTGATCACATAAGGGGGACAGGAGGTTGCCAAGCCCCGAAGGGGTGCTGTCTAAAGATAGGTGTGGTGAGTGCAGGGAAGAGCAGGCATTTCTTCTTGGCTTGTGCAAGGGGAGGTAAAAGTCTTAGTGGTTGATTTAAAAAATTTCAGAAATGAAAGTAAATATTGAAATTAGTCTTTTTATGAGGCTAGGCTTACTGGGATATATTTCTGAATAATGCTGATTTGTAGATTTGTAAGAAACTTCTGTGTTGAATGTTAGTCACTGTCAGTTGGAGGAATGGAAACAGTAACATGTCTTGTTTCTTTATACTGTCTTTGAACACAAAGTGAAGCCTTGTTTCAAAACTTGCAGACAGCAAGCCATTTAAACAAAGACCTACACATTTTAAGCTGAAATTTAGGGGAGGATTATTTGACATTCTTACTAATAACTCTTTGGATACAATATGATACAAATTGTATGTTGAAGTCATATGGGCCAAAAGAAACTTGCATTGGAAATTGAGACACAAAATAATCCTTCCAGAATGGTAGCTGTTTTCTGATTGGCTATAAGATATTTGAAACTTTAATATTTCTTTTAGAGACTGCTTTTGTTCCATTTTAGGTGGAATCAGAACTTTAGAAGTTAGGCAAGTAAATAATGAGTGGTCAAGAACCAGGAGACTCATCCCTTGAAGCCTTCAGGGTAGTTGTGGAGATGTGATTAGATAAGAGGAGAGAATTCTGTTTGAACACCTACTGATTTAGGGATAAAGTGTCCTTGATTTTCAGAGATTCTTCCACAGCCCCTCAGGATTGACTGTGAATTGTAAGCATGTCACCTGTGTCATCTGATTGTGGTGGCAGTAAGCACTCCTTTGCCTTTGATGATGCTTCACCTCACCTTTTGCATAAAGTTAGTCTGTTGGTCATTATTGTCCTAGGTCAATGGGTCCCTTTTTTGTATTAGGTGTGATAGGCCATCAGAAGGCTTGGACTGAGGGATGGCAGGAACTGGGTACAATTCAGAAGGTTGACTCTGGTTTTTTGTTTTTTTTTTTCCTGTTTTTTTTTTTTTTGGAGACAGTCTTGCTGTGTCGCCCAGGCTGGAGTGCAATGGCGTGATCTCGGTTATCGGCAACCTCTGCCTGCCTCCCAGATTCAGGCGATTCTCCTGCCTCAGCCTCCTGAGTAGCTGGGACTGTCGGCATATGCCACCACGCCTGGCTAATTTTTTGCATTTTTGAGAGAGACAAGGTTTCACCGTGTTAGCCAGGATCATCTCGATCTCCTGACTTTGTGATCCACCCACCTTGGACTCCCAAAATGCTGGAATTACAGGCATGAGCCACTGCGCCTGGCCATGGTTGCTGTTTTGAGAATATATTGTAAGGAGGCAGGGGCTCATGATTTGCCCAGTTAGTCCCAGAGAGAGAGAGAGAGTGGTGACTTCGGCCAGGGATAATAGTGAAGGTGAGGAATGGTTGCATTTGAAATGTACTTTGAAAGCAGTGCCTATTGGAGTTGCTATTGGGGAGAGAGGGAAAGAGGCAGCTCAGTGCTGACTCCTGGGTTTTTGGCTTGAGGTACATTCATGGTGTCTTATTGAAAACCAGGAATACTGGGACAAGAAGGAAATTGGCAGGGGTCTGGAAGCCAATAGTTCCCTTGAAGCATGAGATTACATCAGACTGTTCTTGCATTGCTAGAAAGAAATAACTGAAGCTAGGTAATGTATAAAGAAAAGAGGTTTAATTGGCTCGTGGTTGTGCAGGCTGTACAGGACACATGTTGCTGGCATGTGACTCCGGCGAGGCCTCAGGCAGCTTCCAATCACGGCAGAAGGCAGCAGGGACCTGGCACGTCATGTGGCGAGAGCAGGAGCAAGGGGACGGGGTGGGGGGATACCACACTGTGTTTTTTTGTTTTTGTTTTGTTTTTTGGCCCTCCTTATGGAGCAGGGCTGAGCCATAAGATGTATGGCCAGAGTTAGCTGCCACACACTTTTAAACAACCAGATGTGGACAGCCCCAAGCCTTTCATGAGGGATCTGCCCCCATAATCCCATCACCTCCCGCCAGGCCCGACTTCCACCACTGGGGATCACATTTCAACATGAAATTTGGAGGGGACACACATCCAGCCCATATCAGAGATTCCGATTAAACATGTAAATGGAGATGTCACATTGACAGTTGAGAATTCAAACCTGGAGCTTTGCGGAAAGATCAGTGCTAACGATGAGCTTGTGGGAATTATCATCAGCGTATTTGAAACAAGAGTGAGGGAGGAGAAGGGAATAAGGGGCTGGGCCCTGCCCTCCTTCTCCTAACACTTGAAGGTGATCAGAGAAGAATCCTTCAGAGGCATTTGCCAAAGAGAAGTCTGTGAGTTTAGAAGGAAAACCAAGATAGAGTAGTGAGGGGGCCTTCCTCAGGCTTGATTCCCATAGTGTAAAGAGGTTTTTCTTTTGTCAAATTGGGACCATTTTGTCCAATTTTTGATGAGTGTGTATGTGTGTATGTCTGTGTGTGTGTGTATGTCTGTGTGTGTGTGTGTAATTATCATTTAGAAACATTGATAAACTTCAGGAAACCTTGTTAAATAAATCATGGCAAATCCAGCCAGAAGTAAGAGCAAATACAACAAATCTTTTAAATACCAGAACATGGGATTTTGTTACCCACAGGCAACCTCATTTCAGGGAAATACATACATGTGTTGATTATTTTTGAAATACTAACAAGGATTGGAGGAACCTACTCCCTGACGGTCCCTAACATCCAAAACATGTCATTCCATCTCCTGGCCACTGTCTGTAGGCTGTTTAAAGACCTTCATTTACTAGGGCTTTTTTCTTAGGAGGTCCTAATCCTGATAATAGCAAAGTAGTAAAATATAACCATACTTTGTATGTTGTGAAACAGTTGAGTTGCTGTTGACTATTGATCTAGTGACACATTTAGAAACCTTTCTATTCTATGCCTCCTTACCTACTGCGTACTCCTGGGGTCTAAGTTTGGGTGACTTGCCCAGAGAGGCCTTCTCTGACTCCTACTCCCATAATAGCAGTCAGAGAATCCATGCTTTCCTATGTGGTCTGTAACTTGTTTATGTAGTTGTGTCTGTTTTTTGTCTGTTTTGTTCATGCTGTACTAGCTCATAGCAGAGCATTTGGCATAAGACGGGCACTCAGTACGTTTAATGTATGACTGTCATCCAGTATTAGAAAACTGACATCTTATAGGTACCTCAGTAGCTTCGGGTTGGTATCTGAGCTTAGTGTCTTCTTTATTTTTATATATTTTTGGAGATAGGGTCTTACTTGGTCACTCAGGCTGGAGTGAGGTGGTGCTATCTTAGCTCACTGTGGCCCTCCTGGGCCCAAACGGTCCTTCCACCTCAGCCTCCCAAGTAGCTGGGACTACAGGCACCCACCACCACACCTGGCTAATTTTTGTATTTTTTGGGAGAGACAGGGTTTCACCAAGTTGCCCAGGCTGGTCTTGAACTCTTGGGCTCAAGCAATCAGCCTGCCTTCTCCCACGAGTGCTGGGATTACAGGCGTGAGCCACCGCACCTGCCCTCTTCTTTATTTTTAAGTCGGGTTTATGGATGTATAATTTACCTACAGCAAAATTTGCACTTTTTGGGTGTACGGTACAATGAATTTTGACAAACACATGTAGCTGTGCAACCACCAACCACAATTAACAAAATAGAAATTTTCACCATTTTGAAGTGTCCTTGTGCCCCTTTCAGTCATCCCCCATTCTTAGACAAACACCGATCCTGTTCCCTTAGATTTGCCTTTCCAGAATATTATATAAATGGAGGTATACACTAGAGCCTGTTGTTCATGACATCTTTTGCTTAGCACATGTGTTTGAGATACATCTGTGTGGTTTGTGTATCAATGATTTACCTTTCTTTTGTGGAATGGTGTTTTGTCATATGAATGTACCACAATTAAAAAAAAAATCTACCATTGATGGGCGTTCACGTTATTTCTAGTTTTTGGCAATTAGATTTTTCTTCTTAGTTTAATAATACAAGATATTAAAGTGGCATCAGTAACCCCCAGCTCCATACCCCTACCCACATCTGTTTTTTTCTTTTGTTTTTCTATGTGTTTTATGTAACAGTAATCATAAAACACAGAAATATTTTTCCTAGTTTCGTAAACTGCACAGTTCATAAATAGTTGTATTTTACTGAGTTACTGGACTGTAATTTTCTAATTCCTTATTGTCAACATTGAGATTGTTTCTAAGTCTTCACAGATGTGAATAATATACCGAAAATCTTCTCAAATATTTCCTATAATAAATTTCTGACAGTAGTTTACTTAAGATTCTTAATCGAAAGTCATAAAAAGTCAAGCGAATAGGGGCAAACGCTGGATAGGTGTGATAAGGATATGGAGTCCTTCTAGGAACTGAGTGTCTGACAGGTTCTCAGGAACCAAGTCGTTAGGTAATCAGTAATGACTTTTCATTCCTGCACCTCTTGCTACATTGGTCCCATCTTTATCTCTGTAGAGACTTGCTTTCTCTGCTTTTGGATGTGTGGAGAAGGTGGTTGATGCACAGCGCTTGGATTTATGTTCTTTAGTTCCAGGGCACACCGTGCCTGACCACCTTTTTTTTTTTTTTTTTTGAGACAGAGTCTCACTGTGTCACCCAGGCCGGAGTACAGTGCTGGGATCTTGGCTTACTGCAGCCTCCTTTGCCTCCTGGGTTCAAGTGATTCTCCTGCGTCAGCCTCCAAGTAGCTGGGATTACAGGTGTGCGTGACCATGCCTAGCTAATTTTTTTTTTTTTTTTTTTTGAGGTTTTAGTAAAGGTGGGGTTTTGCCATGTTGGCCGTGCTGGTCTTGATCTTCTGACCTCAGGTGATCCACCCTCGTTGGCCTCTCAAAGTGCTGCGATTTTAGGCATGAGCCACCGTTCCCAGCCCTGACCATCTGTTTCAAATCCAAATGCCGGGGCTGGGAAAATCTTACACTGTGTGAGCTAAGTTTCTGCATGAGGGCTAATTCGCTAGCTCATTTAGTGGAATCTATCTCAGTGAGTAGGAGGGGTTGTGTTCAGAGAAAGGAGATTGTTGCAAACTAAGCCCACACCCAGAATTTTCCATTTTCAGTAAGATACCATGAAATCAAGTCTTACAGCTGTTGAAATTGGTCTCTGAAAGCCAGTTGCCATTAGGTCTTAAAAGAGGAGAGCGCCCAGGGAGTATTAAGCATCTATTTCTTTATATTTGTATTTAGATATAAAACTAGTTGTTAATAGTGATTAAATATCACTCATCATCACCTATGAGTGATGTTTAATAGCAAATAATCTAATTTACAGTCAATATTTATTGAATGCTTACTTTATATAAACCTTGTATCTGAGATTTCTCCTTTTTTTTTTTTTTTTTTTGAGAGACTGAGTCTCGCTCTGTCACCCAGGCTGGAGTGCAGTGGTACAGTCTTAGCTCACTACAACCTCCATCTCCCGGATTCAAGTGATTCTTCTGCCTCAGCCTTCCAAGTAGCTCAGACTACAGACATGTGCCACAATGCCCAGCTATTTTTAGTAGAGATGGGGTTTTACCACATTGGCCAGGCTGGTGAACTTGAGCTCAGGTGATCCACCCACCTTGGCCTCCCAAAATGCTGCGATTAGAGGCGTGACTGCAGTGGGCCACTCATCTGAGACTTCTGTGTAGTTGTCCATTGGTATCTTCGGGGATTGGTTCCAGGATCACCCCTGCCTCCACCGTCAACGCCAAACTCTGAGAATGCTTAAGTCCTTTATATACAATATCATAATATTTGCATGTAAATGACACATACTCCCAAAGACTGCAAATCATCTCTACGTTACTTTTATTTATTTTTTTAAATTTTTTTGAGTTGGAGTTTCA